AGTGATCTCTCTCAAGCAACATTAATCCTATTCATATACCCAAACTTCTTATATCACTACATATTAAAAGAGCCAAAGTTAAGGCGGACACATGTCTCCATTTCCAATCGTCTTTAAAAATCCCCCATTTTTTTAATTCCTTGAAATTCGTCAAAATTTTCCACACCGCCATTCTTGCTTTTCCATTATCTCACGCAACCACCCACTCCTCTTCCATTTTCCCACGCAACCTCCCATTACAAACTTCTTCTTCCTTTCAATTTGCAAGGCTAATACTGTCAAACAATAGATTTTTTGCTCCTAGAAGAATTTGACAAACTCGTGTAGTTGGAATACACCTCAAGTTTGGATTATATTTTCCCCCTTTCTTTGTGTCATTATATAGCAATTCATTTATATTAATTCTTCTTCGAATCCTCTGGAGTTTTAACCTGGGCCAGCCTCTTCGTCTTCTTCGCATTTTCGTTGTCCTTTTTTGCCTCCTCTCTGCTAGAACCAGTAGTTTTTGTTGTCACATTCCTGACTGGTTTCATCTTCTGGGTTTTTTTTCGATTGAATTTGCAGGCTTTTTCACTTTCTCTGAAGGGGAGATCTTGTAGGATTTCTTCACTTTGACAAGCTTTTCTGATTTCACGAACCTTTTCAACTGGGTCGAGAGAATTTTCTTGATTTGGGGCTTGTAATTTAATGGGTTTTATAAGATGTGAATATATATAATGAACTTTATGTTTGACCGCGTGGGTTAAGTCTTAAAATTGAGATCAATGCTTTAGATTAGAGACTTGAGTATGAGGATTGGATGATTTTGTTGGGTGAATTTGGGATTTGTCTATTTTCGCTCTTATGGTATCTCTCCAACAACATAAAATAATTCACTTTTTTTTTTTTTATATGGATTGTGAAGATTTCGAAAAAAAAAATTCTCCGTGCGTACACGGAGGCACCTCCGTACGCACGAAGGTTTTTTTTTATACCAATAACAATGTTTCTTAAGGCAATCAACAATGTTTTTTTTAAGTCATTTTTTTTACATTGTTACTAATAACAATATTTTTTTTCACTCACATTCTAAACTTCCCGTAAGTGCATTTCCTTATAATTGGTTACTAGCTACATAAAGTGTACCGTTTTCTGCACATTTATTGTATTTTTAACCTTTCCAACTAAACTTTGTTTCCCAATAGAAATATGAAGTTCGAAAGCATATGACACGGTCATTTTCAGTTCTTGTAAATGTTAGAACTAGAAGCTTAAGGCAGACAGATTCATCTGGAGGTTTAATACTTGTAATATCAGCAGTCCACAGGTCTTCAACAAATGACAATGCCTCCCCAGATATATCCCTTGAAAGAGAAGGTGTCAACATCTGTATATGTTAGTAATTCTTTTAAATGTTGAATCTAATATTAATATCCATATTCAGTGAACCACATTTCACTTACGTGGTTAGATGTATTAGCAATGGAAAGCACTATACTTAAATTTCGAAATGACCTTCATTACCTTGTTCTTTTTCATGGAACATTCGTTTCTTTTGTTTATGTTTGTGTTTATTAGTGGTTCTTTTCCTTCCGATAAATTGTAAATTTTGAGTTTGTGACTGATTATGTAGTGAATTAAATTATTTATTCTGCCATTTCAAACCTGAAACATCCCTTCCTAATGGTATGATCTATCTGTTTATATCAATTTTTATTTTGTTTATTATCTTTATTTTGTCACATTATTTTATTGGTTATTTATAATATTTTCGACTGCATAATGAAATCATAATGAACTTAAATTAACACAGACTCATTCCAATTATCAGTTTATGAATAAATCACCAGACAAACCTTAAAAATATTTTCTGACGTAACTCATAAGGTTCTTTTATGATTTTCATTAAATCTAGAAGATTGCAATTTCTCAAGTTTTCCCTGCGAATTTATCTAAATCTCACCCATATTAATGTCATGTTAATATTTATTTGTGTTTCTGATTTATTAATTATAAACATGTTCCCATTTTAAATTGTTTATTAGATTAATTCATTAATGTTGAAAATTTTCAGTGCCCAAGTACAATATGACCTATAGTTCGATGCTTTCTCGACCTTAACGTCAATTCATTATTTTTAGTCTATGCAGTGGCAATGATGAACTCAATCTTGTTTTGAATATGTGAGAACCTTTACCTTTATGTTACATATTTAAGATACTTGCATCAGTTAACAGTTGAATTTTATTTGACTTGGCTGCCTTACTTCTTGTTTGAATCCAACCTTGCG